AAATTTAAAATAATTAATGCAACAAAGAAAAAACTAGATAAATATATAAATGTATAAGGATTTAATATTATTGAATGTAGAACATATATACTTCAAAGACTTTTTTAATTAAGAACCGTGCCTAATTCGGAATAAATATAAACGAATAATTAAGATAGTAAAATGCCTTAAGATATTGAAGTAATTTTAATATTTTAAAATTATTTATTTTATTTATTTATTTTTTTTTAAAAAAAAAAGATTATTTCTATTATTCTAGTTAATTATATTAATGAACTTTGTCAATAAAATTAAGGTATATTTTTTATTATTTAATTAAAGACTATTTTTATTATATATAATAGATTTGATTTAATGTAAAATAGAATTAAGGGAAGTTTATGATGAATAATAATTAATTTCTGAAGAACATAATTAAATAGAAACATTTTATATTTTATTAATTAAAAAAAAAGATATGGATCCTTATTTTATATTTTAATCTGGAAATACATTATAATATACTGACCCAAACAATGTAATATATTAAAAATAATATATATATATATATATCTATATAAATATATATATAAATATATATATATATATATATATATATATATATATATTTAAGGGATTTGTATGCTTCTTTAATGTTTTAGTTTATTATTTTTTACATATTAAAAATTGTATTTTTGCAAGAAGTTTATATCATGCTCCTTCTAAAGAACCTTTGGAATAAATAGCAAACAATATTTTGGGAATATTAAATGATTAAAGAAGGAGATATTAAATGTTTTGAATATATAAATATATATTTAGAGTTTTTAAATGGAAAAAAAAAAAATATATTAAATTTAAATATTTAAAATAAAAAAAAAAAATACTTTTTTACTAAAAAAATAAATTAATTATTATATTTTAAATAAAAATATGTTTATATAAAAATATATATTTAATTATATATATATATATATAAACTTTTTTAATAAAAAAATATTTATTAATTTAATTTTTTTCATATATACATATTATATTCATATGCATCTATAGGATTTTTAATTACAACGTCTGGAACAACAAAAAACTAATCTTTATTTATATTTAATTATTTGTCTAATGGTATTTATTAATATTATTCATAATATATTTATTCCCACTTTAAATATTAATTTTATATTTTTGCGAATTCGTTGTATGAAGTATCAATATATTATATATAATTTTATTAAAATTCTTAATAACCTATATTTTATAAAAATAAAAAATAAAAAAATAGGTGGTAATTACTTAATATTTATTTATATTAATTTTTTTAATAATAAATTATATTTTTATTTTATTCATCTCCCTAAAAATTAAACTCTTATTTATCTTCTATGTTTTTATCTATTTTATTTATTATTTTTTAATCGTTTTAAATAACTGATTTTGCACTATTTCTTTAGCTTTCTTTTATATTAAATAAATTAATTTTTTTAAATATAATTTTTATAAATATTATTTTAGTTTGCACCTTAATTTTTTAACAAATCCGTTTAGGAAGAATATTATTAAGAACTTTTTTTATACTATAAATTTTATTTTCTCAGTCGAACTTTTTCCTTAATCTTATTATACAATTATAAATTTTCTTTATTAATTTCTCCTTTTTATTATAAATATCTATTATAAAACTATTGAATATTATTTATTATTTTTTAATAATTTAAAAGAATATAATCGTTCTATTATGAAAAAAAAAAAAATATAAATATAAATATATAATAGTATAATATATATATATATATATATATATATATATATTAATTTATATTATTACTATTAATTTATTTTTTTAATTTAAATTATTATTTTCTTATTCTTATAATAATTGTATCTTAATATCCCTTTTTAATAATACATTTACATTATATACATATACAATATATTTTACTCCATATCTTCAAACTTTGTTTTTTTTTATTTATGTAAATGAAATATTCTAAAAATTATTAAATGATGAAAAATTAATCTCACATTATAAGACCAATGAAAATAAAATCTAATTATATATTTATATATATATATATATATATATATATATATATATATATATATATATATATAAATATATAAGATAAATATAAAAAATAAAACATATATTCTCACACATTACTTAAAAAATATATTAGATAATAAATAAGAGCACAAATCAAATTTGAATTCCCATGGAAAAAGTGTAAAATTGTTATATAAAAGCCACAATACCCTACATTAACAGACTGCCCTTTCATCTTCTAAAGTAAACTTAATTCCTTTAAAAAAAAAATGATAATCGAATACTGTAGGTAAAAATTTTTTATTATTAATTAAGCTTTATAACCATTCATTAATTAAATCAAACATAAAATTTACTTTTTCATAATCATGAATACTTTTTTTTAATATTAAAAATAAATAAACCAAAATTTTATTTATATATTAAAAATTATAATATATATTACTTAGTTTTCTTATAAACTATTGTAATAAATAAACTGATCAATCTTTCATTATTAAGAATGCTTATAGTTGCTTATCTAAGAGAAACCGGGTAATTTAAAACATCTCTTTTTTTAAATTCAATTAAAAAAGCTTTTAATAACGTTAAATATCCGGGTAAATCTTACCAAGGTACATATTCTTTTATTATTATAGTTTTATTTACATATTATAGCCATTCTGTAAGAAAGAAAAAAAATGCAATCCCTCTTTTTTGCAGTCTTTTATACCATTTATTATCTTCCAAAATTTTATTCAATTATTGAAAATTTTACTCCCCTTTTTTTTCTGTTTTAAGAAATTAATAAAAGCAATTTTCCCAATCAAAAAGACTAATAAACTCATCATTTTTTTATAGATTATTTAATTTTTCATCTAATTTATATTCCGAACCCCTCCATTCATGAATTTAAATATCTTCTTTAATGATTAATTTTTCCAATAGTTTATTTCTAAATTCAGGTATCCTAAAATAAGCCACAGCACAATAATTTTCTACAAAGTTCCTTTCTTTAGGATTTAAAGCTTTTTAAGTTAATTTTTATAATGCCTTTTCTAATATATCATAAAGTAAATGTTAATAGCTTAATGCAATTTTCATCTTCAGTTTTAAATTTCTAACTGCTTCTTTTTTCAAAAGAGTATTATAGATATTCGCCTATTACGCATTTTATAATAATAATTAATATTTTTCATCAAATCCCATTTAGTTTAATTCAAATTCACCTCTGTTGTTTTTTTTTATTATATATATATATGTATATATATTTTACCTATTAATTATATTTTTTAAACACTCGTAATAATTTTCTTTTAAATAATCATCAATGTTATCATTATCTGCGAATTTTAATAAATGTTTAGCAAATTAAATTAATATTTCTTAAGCTTTTAGAAGATCATATTATGTTTTATAATAGAACGATATTACAGATTCTTTATGGCTTTTTTTTATTAATTCATATACTTATTAAAATTAGTTTGTTATTTCTTCCTTTAGTTTTAATCTATCATACCCCTTTTTTTTTTTTTTAAGAAAAAGAAAAAGTAATAAAAAAACAAAAATTAAAAAATTAGATTATTTTTTTTTTTTTTTCTTATTATATAATTTAAAATAAATAATACACTTATAATTTAATTTTTATCTTATAAAGAATAAACACTCTCAGTTAATAATTTAATAGAATTTTATAGAGTTTATACCTTTTATATATAATATTATTAAATCACAATAATATGTATTTTACGTCGTCATTTTTCTAATCTTAATTAATAATACTCTTAAATATAGCAGGACTAGCTTTCATAATCCCTCTTTCGGTTACAACACCAACAATTTATTATTAAAAATACTCATGATTTAAAATATTAAACTAACAATTAACTTTTCCAACTTATCTTCCGTTATGCCATAATTTTTCGCTAATCATTTATCTTCTAGATTGAAATAATAATCCATTTTTAAATATCTATTTTGGTTTTTTTTGTTTTTTTTTTGTAAAAAAATAAATAGTTTTTTGTATTACATTCTTATGTTCTATAGAAAATATACGGTTTAAATTAAAATATGATTCTGCAAATACATGTTTTTTTACATATTGGACTTATTAAGATATATTATCATTATCTTATATTTAAGAATCTAATTTTTAAATTCCCCAAATTATCATTTTTAATGAAGTTGTCCCTATTTCTTTTGTAATTAATTCAACATTTAGTTTAACATCATCTGATAAATCTTCTATATAATCCCAGAATATTTCTTTAAATTATTTATATGACTTTTCTTCGAATTCCATATTATACTCCTCTTAAAATTATGTAAAAATAAAGAAAAAAAATAAAAAAATATATATATATATATATTAAATTAATAAATAAATAAAAATTAAACTATTATTTATAAAAGATTCTATTGTCTATTTTGATGTAATAGGAAATTCATCTACAGCCATAGAAACTTTAATTTATTTATATAAAAAAAATAAAATTATAAAAAATATACATTTATCAATAAATTCAAATTATTTGCTTATATTATTGTAATAAATTGTCATAGCAGTATTTTTATTTTTTTATTTTTAAGGCGAAATATCTTAATTGAATCTTTTATTATTTAATATTAATAAAAAATTAAATCAAAATCAAAATATTTTACAATTAACTTTTAACACTTTTCATAACATTTCCAACTCTCGGTTTTATCTCTTTTTATTATAGAGATTCTAGTCGGTTAATTTTATAATTAAGTTGATTAATTAAGTTTTTTTTATTAATTTCATGAAATTCATGCATATAAATATTATAATTTTCAGTTTCTAGAAAAGATTTTTAGTTTAATTAATTTTGTATTTATTAAAAAAAAGATAAGTCTTTATTTAAAAAATTTACTGAATGATCACTAATAAACACATTATTATAAGTCTTTTTAATATAAAAACAAGAAAATGCAATATATAAATATATTTCTATATATATATATATATATATATATAATATATATATATATATATATATTTATATATATCATTTTATTATATATATATTTATTTTACTATTATTTTAAATTAAAAATTATATGCTTCGTACTTTTAATTATTTTCTTTTTAATTATCATCTTTCTAATTATTTTCTAGAAAAATAGATACTTTTTCTGCCTCTATTTCAAATTGAATTTTCTAAAACATTTTTATATCGAAACTTATTCTACCGACTTTTACTTAACTTTATTATTAATTTAAATTTTTCCATTCCATTTCCATATCATAATGGAATGGACCTGTTGCTATTTTATAAATTTATAAAGGTAAATACCCTACTTCAATCTATTTTTCATTTTTTAACCAAATATATAAATAAGAGCTTGTTTTTAATCTATAATCATCAATAGTATATTAAAATTTGTAATTATTTTTCATCTTAAAAAATATATATTTTTGTTTTTAAAAAAATAAAATATGTTTTTACTCGTAAATTTCCATCAATTAATTTTAATTCAGTTTTATAATTTTCTTAATCATCAAAATTCATTTAAAAAAATGCAGAATTCTTTTTTTTTATTTTTTACTATTTTTTTTTTTGAAAAACATAAATGTTATTTACTGTAAAAGGATGTCTTTTAACTTTTATATTTGATATAGATACAATAAATGTCCTTTTTATATATTTATCTTCTTCATTTACTAAAATAGATTGTTCTGGTTTTGGATTATTTTTATCGTTTGCGCTTTTTATGTTTTTTTATAATTATTTTGTTTAACAAAAACCCATTTGAAAAAAAAAAAAAAAAAAAAAAAAAAA